TTCGATTTATTAAACGTTTGACAACCTCGGCGGGCATGGTAGGCCACTTGATGGATACAGGGGAGGAGAATAATCATCTCGCGTATAAAATGCCGAGAGCGTGATTTCTCATGCTCGCGGTTAGGGCGCGCATGCGCATGCACAGTCGACGTCCAAGCGCGATGTAAATGGTTATTAGCCCTTCTAGTGGCGCGTAACGAAACTCCTTAAATCACGAGGACGGCCGATGGGCCGTGCCGGTCCGGAGGAAAGGAAAACATCGAGGCATGCATGTAAAGGTACCCACTACACTCTGTCTACGCACATGTGCGCTTACGCGCAGAGGCACATTAGAGAGAGGCGGGGGAGAGAGTGAGAGTCATAGGGGAGGGGGCTGAAGAGACAGTAGCCAAGAAAGAGAATAATACGTTAAAGCAGCAACCAGCAACTACTCTAATTGGCCACTTTGTCCATTTATTCGATTTATTTAAATTATGGGACAATTGACAGTAGGCATTCTATTTTTTAAATCTCCCCGAGCGCGTAGCCGCTACGGCGGCAGTGGCTGCTGATTGGGCGGAATTGGCGTGAGACACTGGCCCCACAGATTCCCCAGTTGTGGGCTTAATCAGCTTTGATTGCTCTTGCGTCTCGCTCCCTCTCTTTCTCCCTGGCTCTCCCCCTCACTCTTTTCTCATCTCGTGGCTGTTACTTCTCTCTGGCCTCTTGCGCACTGGCTGCTCACTCTTTTCATCGCGCCTCTCTCTCTCTCTCTCTCTCTCTCTCTGGCTCTTTCACGACTTTCTTTTAATCTTCCAGACAAACGGCAGGTCCTTTTATTATTAATATAATAGTTTTTACACGAGTCGTTATCACATATTATACAACATTCGTGGGCAAAACTTATCAAAATGCCGTGGTGGATGATTTTGTTTTCGGAAACTGGATTGTTTTTTTTTTTGTTTTTTGTTTTGTTGTTGCCGGTGGCTAAGAGTGTGGCCGTTTTGTCGACAATTATGTATGTAAAAGCCACTTCTTGAAAATGATTGAGAGATAATATGATGATATGAATGATAAATGATTGAGTATGCGACGTTATTGATGGGGAACGTCAAGTGTTTCGCTAATATTATTTCTCGTTTTATGAAATAAAACGCTCCATAATTTGTAACTACGCATTAAAAAAAAAAAAATATATATATATACCCATCTAGGATATTCGTATGGATTTGCTTCCAAGTTAGAATAAGTTAGAATACGTGAACGATAGTCAGTGCTGGAAGATAAATAAGTAATTAATCGGTAACACACGTGATTAAAATTAAAAGTGTTTTGTAACTCGAAGGATATATTAATATTACTCTAATGAATACGCATTTTTAGAAATGTTGTAAATCAATTCTATTTCCATTTGAGTTGAAAACAATATTGACGTTGTACGTAATGGCTCATATTAAACATAATATTGGCTAAGATAAAAAGTATCTAGTTGTTAATAAGCCTATTAAAATTTGACTACATTATAGTAGAATTCTCTCAACGGATTACGTCATATTTACAACATATAAACCGTGATTACATAACCATGAGCCGTACATCTAAATTTTAAATATAATTTGATATTACAAAATATTGTTGCTTCCATAATTTACTATTGGTATAAGCTTAAATTATTTTCGATAATTTCAATTGATTTATTTCAAATTAAATGACTATATTAGTATAAAAATAGGCAATTCCGATAAATTAAATAGTAATGCATAAAATTTATATTTAAAATGAAATTGTCAAACTCGATTGATCCATAAAACGGAGTTGTATATAACTAGATTTAAATCGGCCGTAGAAAACTTCATGAAACTGTTAAAGTTTTTTATTGCCCACGCTTATTAGCGTAACTCGCGATTCTCTACGCATTTTATTATTATATCGCTCAAGAAAGAAATAATCAATTTTCGTTCGTGCCTAGGTATACAAAAAAGTTACGTTGGCAAAAATGACGAATCGAAAAGTTTTACTGTAATTAAAAAGCGCGCGATACGCAGTTCTTAAATTTGTATTAGCCTCACTCTTTTTCCTCTTTCTTCTCGACCGGCAATTTAGTCGCAGCCTTCCACCCTATCGTTTCTTTTTTCTGCTTTCGTATATGAGAATTTCGTTAATCTTTTATGTTCGATGATAGATAAGGAGAGATAATGATGAGCAAGGAAAAGCTTTGCTTCAATAATCAATTTGCAGTTAATAATCAATTTGCAGGATTTAATCATGGAGTTTTCCATTTACATGAAATTATGTACCATTTTTAATTTATCATTAAAAAAGAAAAACAAATAAATAAACAAACACATAAGCAAACAAATGCAAACAAATAGTACCTGCCATTGTTGGTACAATCAAATTTAATAAGAATTATGAATTGTTCGGATCGAAAATTATGTTTTTTGATACTTTAATTTAATAGAGTATCGTCATTCGAAATATGATTTATTACAAAGGACAAAGAAAGCCAGAAGTAAAACGATTAGTTTTATACATTATATGCCATTCTAGCGTTGGAAAAAAATTGTTCTAAAATAAATTGTGAATCAATTTAGAAACATTAATTCAATAACCATTTCATTCGTGCTCAAAGCTTAGTTATAATCGCGATTGCTGCTTAAATCTAATTTGGAACTTTCATTCTACTCTATAAGTCATAATTAAATTAACATATAGGAAAGACGTGATACTTAACATAGAGATGGCAATTATTTCGATTTGCATAAATAAATTGACAAATCAATTATCTTTGATTCTTGAGTAGCAAGTGGTCGAGAGCTCGGAAGGCGTTCGTTAAATTCGTAAAGTGAAATAAATAATCACGGAACAATCGGTCAGTATGACGACAACGACTCTCGGCGTCTGTCATTCGGAACGCTCGAAAATCACTCAATAAACGCGCGCAACCGGAAACATCGTTATCAGTCCTCGTGCCGTTCCAGTTTCTCGTCTACGCGTGCGTACAATTTTTCCCTTTCAACATCGAATAAAAAGGGCACCTACGGGCACTCATCCCATTTCCTTAATAATTCCCAGAATGCTGTGGGCGGATATTCCAATAAAATAACGGAGTAGGGGAGGCGACTAAGAGAGAGAGAGAGAGAGAGAGAGAGAGAGAGAGAGAGAGAGAAAGAGTTAGCTCGCGAGGGAGATCCCTCGTGTATCACGAAACGCTGAAAGCCGGTAGAGGCAACTTTATTCGACGGGGATTACGATGTGGACGTTGCACGCAACAATAAAAGCTCTTCGAGTTCATTATCGAAAAGGCTAATCGGTCAGTGCTGTTTAAAAAAAGCGTAGATGGAATAAAGCCAGTGAGATCCGACATATGCGAATGTGCGTTGAATATGCACACAAACATAGTCGAATCAATTTTGCCATTACTTGTGAAATTGACTATACAAATGTTCGGCGAGTTAATGCGAGCTGTTAGTTTATGCCACCCAATTACTGCCATTACTGTATGAGCTACAATTGATACAAAAGCTGGAGTAGCTTCTAACCATATAGGAACTGAAAGAAATTTACTTGAATATTGTCGATATTATTGCTTGCTGACTACGTATTAAAATGAACTTTAAAAACATTTATTCTCAGCATTGCGAATTTATACTTTTTATTATAAGTTTTATTAGCTTATTGAATATGAACGTTATGGCTATTATTTACGATTATAATAATTAATTGAATGAAACTTAAGTATTAATATTATCCAATGATTTGGATGAAAGCTCGATTTTATTGGCCATTACAACGTTATTTTTCCTATTAAATGACACGCTATGCAATGAAAAATATTTATCAAATTTACCTAATATAGGTTGCGCGCATTTGTTTTTGAAAAAATTCATCAAGTAAAGATGTAAACACTTTTATTATCAGAAATGGCTTCTACAATTACCCAATCATTAAACCCTCGATCAAAAATGAAATTCGATGCTCACGTAAAGTTGAGATTTCGTTAACACAGTTTTCAATGCGTTTTTATTATTCGCCATGTACATTTTATGGGTGCTATATAGAAATGAAGCGAGATTTCGGTTTCCGACCGTCTTCACGGCTATGGCGGCACTTCGTAATAGCAGCAAGAGCAGCAGCAACAGCAGCAGCAGCAGCAGCAGCAGCAGCAGTAACAGTAACAGTAGCAGCACCAGTAGCAACAACGACAGCTTCCCCTCGAGTAAGGCCGGAAATTTGAAATTCAAATGACACGTAATACGGCACGACGTCTTTTAGGAAAGTGAAAAAAGAGAGAAGATCGACTTGGCATTTGACGGGCTCGGATTTTGGAAGCCTTGTATGTAAATTCGGAGTGTTCGGTCGAAATTTTTTGTTTTGTAATACGAGTGGCTTCCTTTTCTTTTTATCATTGTAATATTATGTAAGAAGGTATGCGAGGACGCGATAACGTACGCAAATTTACGGATGTATCTAAGTTTTCTATCGCTATGGAAAATAAATGACAAGAAAAATGTTTTTTGACTACTAAAGGTTGAATGCGTAATCTTCGAAAAATCTTAACTAAATGTAAACTGATTCGCAATACACAAAAGTATTTCATTTCGAGTCACTTTGCATACTTAAAATTGGTAAACATTAATCGCAGCCATGCATTTCTAAATAATTTCAAATGGGAAACAAATGAAACGAACAATTAGAAAATAATATTAATCAAATTAAATATCAGGATGATCGAATCGTAAGTAAATCTTCACTCTATATTTCACAAATAATTCAACTGCTTCAATTGTATTTAAAATTTTAGTAAATTAAATAATGTCCATTACAGCATAATAAATAAGAAATAAGAAATTTCACGCCAAGATTAAATAAGTCTCTTATATAAAATTTAATTTTGTAATATTAAAATAAAAAAAAAAAAAAAAAAAATTAAAATAAAAAAAAATAATAAATTATAAAAAAATAAATAAAAAAAAAAACAGAAAAAGGAACATAAAATAAAAGAAGAAATAGCAACTCACCGGAAACCTTGGGGTCAGCTGCCTCCACCTTCATCGCCGCCAGGCTTGCTATTGTCGGCGGTACCTATAAAAGAAATACATTAACGATTGGCAGAATGCACCTACGTGCGTTTATTATATGTACAAGTACGCAGGCAAAGGCGAAAGGCTTTCTTTATTTGAAAAAATTTTTCGTATTTGCAGATACAGGCCATTATTATTGTTTACTTTTTTCTTTTTTTCTTTTTTCTTATTACTATAAACATTATTTATTAATTGATCTAAAATTTTATTTTCTGTTTTTATAAATTCAATGAAAATTTGCTATTTCAGTGTACGTGGGTAATGAATATCAATTTAACGGATAGAAATAAAGAGAGAGAAAAATTCATGACAATTGTATCGAAAAACTCGATTAACAATGAATTTAACACAACAAAATTGTGCTGCTATCATTAATAATATCTAGATTGTCACTTATTGTATCCATCCGTAATTTATCTATATTTATAGGAAAAGAAATGCGGAGCTAGGAATTTAACGCTTAAAGTCACTGGGGCATTGCATTAATTATTCTCGCCTAAACAATTGAATCTTCAATTCAATGCAAAGCTTATAAATAGAAATTCGTACAAATTCTTAATCATCTAAGACTCGGATTGGTTTTGTCAATGATTTGACATTGAACTACATAAAGTTGAAGCATTTTCCCGAGTGCCAAAATCTTCATTTAGCATCTATTATTTTATTATTAAGCAAATCGTGTTTAGTATGAAAATATACAAGGTAAAGATGAATATTTTCATTCGAAAATCCAACAACCATGAAAATTTATTTACAATAAACGTATGGAACAGTTTTTGTTACTCTAAAATCAAATCGTGATATAATGAATTGTTAAATAGTCGTGGAAATATACATTTTTCTAATGTCAGTTTCAAATACACATTTTTATTGTAATGGAAAGATGTAATCAAAGCGAATACAGCAAATGAATGACCTTGAATGAATAATGTTTCAAGAGGAAACTATTATTATTTTTAATTAAAATTCCAACATTATGAAGCAGGGCCTCGAATTACAAATGAAACAATTGATTTTGATCACATGAGCGAAAAGAAAGTGAAAAATTATACGAAAGCGGGCAATATGGCTGTCAAAATTTCGAATGACGAATCGGCTAGGACTAAAATATTTAGAAAGAAAGAGAACCGTCCTTAAAAGACGAACAAAAAGAGCTACAAAGTGGACGTAATATCTCTGCATATGCGATTGGTCGCTATGCAGACGCCGCAGTAAAAATCGGTAGTAAGGAGCGAGAGAAGACGCAGGCAAGAAGTACGTCACGCCCGGAATCTGTCAATTCAAGTTCGGTAAAAAAAGAAGAGCAAGGAAGAGAATGAGGTGAGGGGGGGGGGGGGGGGGGGAGGTAGCCGATTTTATGGTAGCTGTCGGAATGTCTCTCATTCTTTCTCTCTCGTACAAAGTGACCCAGTGTTGTTTAATTGAAACCTGCCACGATTGGAGGCAGCTACGATGATGACGAGGACGACCACGACGACCATGACGAAGAAGACGACGAAGAAGACGACGACGACGACGACGACGACGACGACAACGACGACGACGACGACTACGACTACGACTATGATTACGACTACGACTATGACTACGACTACGACGACGTCAACGACGAAGACGAAGACGAAGACGACGACGAAGACGACGACGACGACGAAGACGACGAAGACGACGACGACGACGACGACGACGAGGACAGAGACGTGACCGGTATGACCAAAAAATCATCTTGAAACGTCGCGATCCGGTCTTTCCCTTTCTCTCACACTCTCCTTCTTCCTTCTCTTTATTAACTTTGTTGTATCAACGTGCGCGCACGTATTTTATTTTATTGTCAAGTACGGTTTTATATGCAGTCCGAGTATGTTTATGGATATAACGTACGCTTAATACGAGCGAAATGAGTATTTATGCGAGATATTAATTTTAAATCGGGGAGGAGATTCGTCGAAAATTTGTACCTCGAACTTGATTTGTATATGCTTCAAGTGCGGAGAGACAGAAAAGTGTTTACGAGCTTTCATTTTTCATTAAATTATTATAATTGCATAGCGATGTTATGAATTTCATGGATTATTTAATGGTGCAGCTATCAGAGTTGTCAAAACGAAAAACACCAACAACATCGAGCAGTAATTCAAAGATAATGATTATGAAACATGTAATCGAAAAATTTTCTCAAATAATGAAAATAAGATATTGCTTGGATTACAAACACTTTGTCTTACTAAATATTTTCATTCGTCAACAATTTTCATATTACATAAACTCATAATGTGGAAACTCATTATATCTAATAACAATCGATTAAATAGTTCAAATTTCTTTTATTAAGAATAAATGCAGTTATATAAAAACATCCAATAGGTAGTAAACAAATATTTTTCAATAAAATAGATGGTCGATATTGCTGTCAAGAAGTAAATCAATAATAAAAATAATTAGCGCTAATTAAATATATAAATATATAAAGCTTATGATAAAAATTCATTAAGGTATGTCGAGTATTCGCATTACTTAAAGAGAAAAAAAAAAGTTCTCTTCGAAAGTGAGGGCAATAAAACTTGACGTTGCTGTCGTGAAAAATTGCTAGTCTTCCTTGACGTTGAAATTTGCATTGTATGCAATGATGATCAGCATTGAAAAAAGTAAAATGTATTATATAAAGTTCTATAGTTAAATTAAGAAGCCAATGACCGGTTTCCGGTTTTTCGCGAAAAAGTCGTGAATCGTTTCTTGGATCAGTAACCTCGGGTCGGGCGTCTCGTAAATGCAAGCTAACAATGATATTGTGAATATTCAAACTGTTTCCGGTTCGACGGAAAAAATAATAAACATCGAAATATTTTATTTATAATGTATATTTAAATTTGAAAAAAGTCGGAAAAAATTCCAGAATTTTATTGAAAAAATTTTGATATTAAAATGTGTATACATAATAAAATGGATTATTTGCTGTTCACTATAAATGTTTTTGCTTTTATAGCTACAATTCTATACATACAATCGGAATGCTAATAATTAATTATATGTAACAATCAATGAACACAAAATGTAAAATAAATATTTCTGTAATTCAATAGTATTGATATATTCAATAATATTAATATTTTCTTTGGTTATTTTGATAAAGCTTGTTGGTACATTATAGCAGTGTTATTTTTATTCTTTCTTTTAAATAAAAAATTCTATTTTTTATAATACCATGAAATATTCTACGTTAACTATTATAGTAATGCATTATACTCTATAAATAAATAGTCTACAATTTTATTCGAATCATTAGATCATCAAAACGATATAAACTTTTTTTTTTATTTTCTCTGATACTGAGAACATAATATATTTTCAATAAAATATCGAGATGATCCTAGAAATAATATTAATCATTCAACGAGATTTTTTTGATGCAAATTTCATATAAATTATGTTATGAATATCGATGGAACTCAATTGATCTATCAAAGTAATATTTTTGATGCTTTTATTCTATGACATTACAATGAATTTTAATATTTACAATTTCATTTTATATTTAAAATAATAATGCGCGATAAAGCCAATTATTATATTTGCTGCAAAGGTGTATTAATGCGTATAGCCAACGCGTATAAATCTTTCATATTTATATAAATTTAACATATTATTTTTAACAGCGAGTAATAAAATTATTTATGTTATCGTTATATATAAAGAATTTTATCAACATGGTACGTATAACCACCCGAAATTTTATTAATAATAAAATAAATAAGTAATTTATTGGAATTAGGCATGTTTAAAATTTGGTCGGAAAATGTTAATTTTATAAAAATTTATAAGCTTTTTATTAACAATACTGTGATTGGAATTGTAATAATTAATTTCATTGGAAATATATACCGTAAGAGGTTGATTACTTTATTTATATATAAATTGGTTTACAAGCATTTGCTAGCGATGACCCATTGGTTACCTCTCAACCGGTTCGCTACTACTTTATCACTTTTCAATAAAAACTAATCCAAAAAAGTCAATATATTGCCGAAATATCGTATTTGATGTCTTCACCAAAATGTAATCATTGCATCGCAATTATTTTCAAAAAGTTTAAACGTCAAATTCACGAGTATACACGTAAGGCAACGATTCGCTAAACGAGCTCACAAGGCTGTGGAAGAAAAGTGTCGTGGCGAGGTTAAAGACACCGAGTCTGCACGGAACAAGAAATGAACAGAAATGAAGCCCCATCTAGGCCACATTTAAATTATTTGAATCCTGTACGATTTCCGAAGCCCTATTCGATAGAATAGCGACGACGACGACGATGACGAAGACGTAGACGTAGAAGCAGCAGACTTTACATAGTCGTTATCACATCGACTTTTATCCTATCTCCTTTATACACCCCATTTCTACTTTATTCTCATTTGTCTTCTTTCGATAGCTGGACGGGAGTTTATTTTTTATTTCATTTCGTTTTCTCCTCATCGAGGAGTTTAGTCGATGTTAGAATTATTACGATACTATTGCCAATGGAAGACAATGACCGCACGGAACAATTATTCTCATCTACCAGAATCTTCCCCGAAATTTAATCGACATTCTGCCATAGTGATATATTCGATGGAAAATGTATAATAAATGGTAATTTATATTGTTGAATTTAATTGTTCTCAACAGCTACGTGTCTAATAATATTGTTTGATCGATGTATTGCTTACCACATTGAAAAGCGATACTTTAATTCAAAGATAATAATTAGAAATTGAAATCAAACAAATCGCGATATAGATGGCAGTAATGAATTTTTATTACTTTTCGATTGATACCTTTATTAGCAGTTTCCCCCGTGTGTTAATATTTCTTAATTAGAATATTCATTGGAATTTTAGCGAATGAATAGATATACAAAATTTAGTATTCAAGTAGTATGCGAATAATGACTTTCGAGAGTTATAATATTTTACGCACGACAATACATTGCAACTATTCCTCGTTATTTTCATTCGTTTAAATAAGAAT